GTCGTCAGTCCTAAGACTGGCTGGACACGCACCTCCACTCTTTCCTATCCTGAGCTAATCATCGCATTTTCCTAAAACTCGAACAATCCACATCCTTAACTATTTGCGAACAGTAACCCGACTGGAAATTAGTAAGTGGATTGGATCCGATGCGGATCACAATTGCATGAAGATTGATCAGAAATAAATCAGGCCTTCTGATCTGGGTATGATGGAAAATCGTCACCCCATATATGATCAACATAGGATACATTTCAAAAATCCATGTCGGATCTGTTTCTAAGATCCATGACGGATCCGTTTGTTTGATGAACAATATTGCATACAGAATAAATAAGGTAAAAAATAAAGTTCTGTATTATGATCCAGTTCAGAACATCGGATTCAATCTTGATTGCACCGAAACCGTAATAGAATTTGTAGCATTAGATTCTGATAAGAAATTGGTCATATGACTGGATTAAGGGATAGGATACTCTACTATGATCAATTTCTGATCAGATGGTTGGATCAACTGATAGAGTAGGTACTGTGCGCTGATCAATTTCTGATCGGATGACCAGATCAAAGAATGGAGTACTGTACTCTGATCAGAAACTGATCAGATCGGTGGATGAACGGATAGATTACTGTACTCTGATCAGAAACTGATCAGTTGGGTGGATCAACGGTACTGTACTCTGATCAGAAAATGATCAGATGCCCGTATTACGGAAAATATGATCCGCATCTGATCATAATCCGGGTTCTCTGAACTAATTTCCAGTCGGGAATCTAATCTAGGTCTACCTCTATCCCTTCTAACTCCCGTTTCTGCCTCTAATATGTCTCTGACTAGACCTTCATACCTGAGAAGGTGTCCGCCCTTTTAACCTATCTCGCCTAGTTCTTATTGACTTCCATGGAATCCTCCGTTCTCCTACTTTTTCTAATATCTCTTCATTTCTAACCTTCTCTATTTACCGTAACCTTATTATTCGCCTGTAGCACCACATTTCAGATGCTTCTAACCTTTTAATTTCCGCCGCGTCCACTACTGAACATATTAACTTTTTATTTGATTTAACTTTAGAAGAAAACTTCGTCGACTCCATCATCAAAAAAATTTTTACTTTTCTAACGTGTTTTATTATTTTAATAAACAATTTTACAATTTGCGTGCACACTTCCTCTGTTAATTTTTCCCTCATTCGAGTTATAAATTTTGCCTCCAGATGGTGTGGGCCCATTTGACGGATCCCAATAGTAATCAATAAATAATACAAATTAGAACAAACGACCTATCCCAATAGAATCGTAATTACCAATTTTAAGTAGATTAAGGGTTTTTATTATAGACATTAAATTATTAATACTGGCGTTTTCCTCTTTTTTCTCTCGGGTAGAATTAACCGGCACTGGCGGGTATCCGGCGCCATTATCCAGTATCCGATCGGATCCTTAAAAAAGTGGATCGAAACAGGGTACTCGGCTCATATCTAATATGTACATAATTATCCTACAGATCCAGATTTTATTCCTATCTCCTTTAAATTCATTAGGTAATCGATATTCTCCATTTAGATTTCCATGAATTTTGCGTTCATATTTTAAATAAACCAGTCCACCACCTCCCTTTTTTGCCATAGGAATTTCGTAATTATAAATGTGTTAAATTTGTCTCATACAAGTATATGTAGGAGGCTTTCTACAATGTACCTACACTTGTAACGTATATAAGTTAATATATATTATATATACCTACAACACAACCGAATATATCTCATTGTGATTTAACGATTTCCCCTGCAGCGTTGCCGCATTTCGCAGCAATATACATTAGCGAAGCAATTCCATTATAGGCTTACTAGCTAAGCCAGGTAGCAAATATCTAATTTCGCAATTGCTCTCGTAACTCAAACCGAGAACGTCGCCGTGTCACAAACGAACACATCGTTGTAATTATTATCATCACCACCACCAGCCGCCGAACCGCCCTACATAACGCTTGCAAATACCGTCCTTTCACCATCTCGCCGTTCACCCCGTCCCACAACATAACCTTATTACTTCTATCAGTATACAAAGAAGTACAGTCTATTTCAATTTGTTAGAATTGTGACCTTGAAGAAGTTTGCGCGAAGATAGAAAGAATACACACTAGGCGTGAGTAAGACAGAAATAGTTGGAACAAGCTTGAACGAGCAGAGCTCTCGATGGGCGGTCTTAGGAGATCGGCTAGAAGTGTACAGTACTAGACGAAAATGTTTAGCAATTTCTTAAAACAAAAATGTATATAAATTAACAATAGAAAACAAAGCAAAAGTTTTATAGATGTGTAGAACGTTAAGTTAATTCACTTGTTATTATTTTTGGCTAAATATGCTTTTAAATAAAGCATATTCTTAAATTTTAACGAGGCAGTTTAAATAATTTTGCAAATGGTACTGTACACTTTTGTCTAGTTCTCGCTCGATGATCGATGAAGAAATGAGCTCCGCAGACAAATATGATTGAATTTGGAATTATGCTACGGAGCATCCTAATAAAGGGAAGGGGCATATCTCCAACTTCTTGAAACGAACAGTAGAATCACTCTAATACAAATTTGTTCTTCGAAATGGACCATCAGAAATTTTTGCAAAAATTAATAGAAGAGTGTCTCAATGGCCATTCGCTAGTTTTTCTTTCAGGGGGGGTCAAAGTTGACCAATATTGAAAGCATTTTCTTCAGTTTTAAACATTTAAGTCTCCACTCTGACTAACTCGAGCAATGACTTTTAGAATCGATAGGAATCGCCTTATCCATTATCAAAATCGGTCAAATATTGATTAACTATGACGCCCCCTGGCGAAGACCCTAGCCAAAGAATCAAAAATTGAATTCCATTGAACACTATTCAAGAATACCCTCTCTAACAATTTTTGTGATGATCTCAGTTGTCAGTGTCTTCTAAGTATCTCGACACGTTTTTTATTGTCTTTAAATTTATTTAGAGACTTCGAATCCACTAATTTTTTTTTATGATCACATGCTTTACGTCAGTTTTATTTCAGCCAAACAGCCGACACCCTCAACCAACACTATTTAGTAAATTCGTTGCCTACGTTAGCGGCTGTTGATGTTACATAACAAATTAAGGCATCGTAATTTATAGAGTAAATTAGAAGAGACCGGGCGCAAAATAACAGAGACAAATTGTGCCGGTTACGAAACCGGGCGTGTAGATGGGATTGGGCGCGAATCGGGGAAGGGTTGAGGGTTGCTCGTTCGAGCAAATATACAGAATTAATTATGGAGATAGGGCCCGATGCGGAATTATTAATACTGTTCTTAACGTGATGCGCACTAATAGATTTGCCGAAATGGCACCGTTTCGCCGACACTAATAATAATGAATTAACGAAGTTGGCTAGCTTGAGAGATGGATCGTTTTCATCTGAAACCTACCCGAATATCATAATTCTTATAAATAACGTCCCTTATTGTTTGCAATTAATTGGAGCCAGTCTAAGAGCTTTTCGAAAATGTATCAATCAATTTTTCTTTACGATATAACTATACACAAAACATACTTGGATAAATGGTTCATATTAGTGTTTCAACAGACTTCTGCTTCCGCTTCCGTAATTACCGAAGTTCCGTACACTTTTTCACATCCGCTCCTGCATATAGTTCGGCATTTTTACAACGGAAGCTTACCGGAACTTAACAAAATCTTATTTCTCAACTTTACCGTTTTCAAAAGTAAAATTAAATGGAATTGCTCGTTAAGACGTTGCATATTGGGCAGCTACCTGCACCAGTTTTCAGCGACATGATGAAAATATTATTTATTATCAACCGTTTATGTTCACGAAGTATTAGCGGCAATGAGTAACGTTATAGCCAGTAATGTATTCGTATTTCGTAAATCGGAACTCTTTACTGCATTTTAAAATTTTTATTTTGTTTCCGATTAAACTTTATGGAGAATCAAAATAAAGGCCGATTCACACATACAGTTCCGTACCCATGCCGTTCACGGACCACACCGTTCCGCCGACATTCCCACATGTAGTTCCGTGCTACTGCTGTATAACGTTTAAGATTGGTAGATACAATTGAGAAAATTATAATAACATAAATATGCATAATAGATAATAAAAATATTGTTTGTAGTAAGTGTGTTCAGAGGTACTACCATAAGAATTACCACGGTCGAATGTAAAGATTGCGGCATTAGAACAACCCTGCAGCTATAAAAACATAATACCGTTTCCCTTTCAAGACCGAGCGGCATGGCCTAGAGGTCTAGACCATTGCTTAGCATTCGGGTGGACGCCGGTTCGATTCCGGGTCCGTCTGCCTTGATCCAAGTTTTTCTATGGTTTCCTTGGATCACTTAGGCAAATGCTGGGGCAGTAATATTCCACATATAATCTTTCATTCTCTTCTGTCTTCATTTCGTCAGTCTCAACTTTCTCACCCGAACCACCACCCACCCATTCCCACGATTCCTGAAAGCAGGCTGAAGAGGGCCTTCCGCCCTACTTTCCGGCATAGTCCGGAGGGACTGCCCGCCCACCAGCATTACTGGCTGGTGGGAATGAAACACCCAAAGTTTTTCCCTACAGTGCCGCGTCTGTCGTGGGTCGTAGACCATCCGATTGCTCAAGAAACGACTTTATAGCGACATGGTACGAAAATATCAGGTCACGGTAGTAGTACGGCATGAATACGGCACTGTGTGAACCTACTTTTAAAATACCGCTACGGTTCGGTGAAATATTTAAGTCAATTTCTACGGGACCATTGGATGTTATAACAAATTCAAAGAATCCTTTAAGAAATAAGGATGCAAAACAAAAATAATATAAGAGTAATCGTGCACCTACCTTTGGGTGAACCTGCGTATTTTGGCTTCGATGATTGTCCTTGTAAAGTCAAGGGTGAATTAAGGTAGGTACTTAAATGAATTGGGAAAACGGGATCCTTTCTGATTTAGACAGGGTACTGACATATGAAGTAAAATTAAGGTAAAATAATTCGACTTCAACTTCTCTCGCTCTAGAATTTATTACAAAATAAAAATTACACAAAAATACAGAAGATAAACAAAATAAATGTTAATACCTTTTACTTCTCCATCGGAAACTTGTATGTTCTTAACTTACGATTAACGATAGTAGTGTGATTCTGTTTTATTTTTATAACAATTATTTAAGGGTTGAAATTTTGATTGATTTTCGTACGGCATTACTATAGCCTTCTTTATAGTGATACCAAATGTCGTTCTGTTTCTTGTTGGATTCAGAATCTGGAAAGAAACAAAAAACAACTATGTAAGAATTTCATAATGAAATTTCTAAAATGATTGTTTTTTTGTATAAATTTTCAGGAAGTCAAAAAAACTTATTTTATATATTTTATTCTAATTATTTTTATTGTAATTATATGTTAATTAGACGTACCATCGGATTGCAGACAATGACATTTAGAGAACAAGTCTAATTTTCTTATCCCTCTAAAACAATTTGGAACAATTTTCTTAAAATCCTTGAAGGGGATGAGGCATTTTCAGATGAGCGTAAATCCGTTATTACCTCAACACGAAATCGTTTCGATTCAATATCGTTACCGGCGCTGTAATTATCTTCAGCAAACAATGGGATAACGTCTCGTCATGGCGCACCCCTTCTCGTCCCTCTCCCGCTCTCTAACCTCCCCCCTCCCCGTTTTCCTTTCTCTACAAGCACCGGGGGCCGTTCGCTAATCCGTCGGCGCGGAAGATACAATTGTCAACATTGTTACGTATAAATTACTGTTCCACCAACCGCTGTAATTGCGCCCCCTCGACGACGACTCCCCCAGACCCGACCCTGCGCGACGCTGGCCGTCGTCGTCATCTTCCGCTCCCCCCCAACCCTCACAGCCGCCGACAGCGCCCCGTTGCTGGCAAAACTCATTGTCAGATCTTCATTTCCTTAGGTAAACGAAGCAAACGTATTAATAAGTAATTGCTAATCCGAAAGCGACAATTAACGTTAGCGACGACGGACCGACGGATGGGACGGTGACGCGTCGGGACGCCGACGACGTCGACGGAGCCCCCGGCGACGGTCGGAGTTTTCAATTGTTTAATTCGTTCTGTTGCCGTGAATGAGCTCGAGAGGTGGATGAAACGAGATGAAAGAGAGGGGGGGGCGACAATGAAGCACTTCCTGGTATTAAATTTATGGAAGATGAAATTTCTGTTTTTATATTTAAAATGTCGCCCAGGAGGGGCTTTCAATTTAATCAGTTCACAATAAAAATGATAATTTATTGGCACATATATATATATTTTTTAATAGAAATAGCAACTTAACTAATTAAAAAACACACTGACACTGTATGAACATATACACTGTGATGATTATACAGGTATGTTACGCTGAATCAACAATCAAATAAAAGTAAGGTTAGGTTACACTCATAAAGTTACGGTAGGAAAAGGCAACAATATTCTTTTGTTTATAGGAATTTGGATCGTTGATATGCATAGCTTATAGATCATACATCATTTGCAACCTTAAACAGAGCTATATTTCATACTAATTTTGAATTCGTCTTCCTTTTTGCCATTACTAATCCAATTTGATGTCATTATTCACTTTAACTTCATAGGACACTAAATATGTTTTTATACCTATTTACACTTCCAAGTCGTGGAACGAACAGTTATTAATAAAATTATTATACGATAAACCTAACCTTCAATTTAAACCCCAGCGGTTTAATTTTCATGATTGCCTATTCCACGTACAAGGCAAAACCTTTTGCCTAGTACATGTATTAAGACACGATTTTGCTTACATTAGTAGAAATACATAAAATCAACAAGTCTATTGTGGCAATTACATGTAGGTATTTGGAGTAATATACAGGGGTTAAAGAGTAATGTAGGTACTAAGAAAATACTCACTTGATGTTGTTGGTGATTTGATGACTCGCCCAAAGAAGTCCTTTCGAATCTGTAACAAATAATTCTATGTACAACAGCTGAAAAAATATTACGATTTTAAATTAAAAGATAAAGTTAAAAGCATATGATAGAAACAAATAGTTCCATTATTCTTTTAGAAAACTCGAATATTTGATGAAAACCGTTTTAATCGTTGAATTAAGAGCACATGTAGTTTGATGTTTTTTGGTCATAATTTAACTGTTTTACGTGGATCAGAAAATAATGACCAGAACTGATATTAGTACAGTACGTCATGATTTCGAAGTATCCTAACCTCAAATTCTAGAAATGCAGTATTTGGACTTTAAGATCACTTACCAGACATAAGTAGAGTTAAAGGACAATTTTTTTTTCGAATTTCTAAAGAACAGAAGTGATTTCTTAATATGCAGTATATCTGATTAGTATTCCAGGAAAATTAAGGGAGAAAAAAGTACATTAAAAAGAAATAGAATGAGCCATTTCGTACCACTCAGTGGTATATAAAAATATGAGAGTAATGACCTTAACGAAATCCCCAACTGCTTCTAATTATTACGTGAATTTGACCTGTCTACGCACCAGCTGTTGCGAAGGTCACGAATAGGTACGTGTGTTTCGTCAGTTGACGTGATAACGAAAGCCAATAAGATAACGCGGCTGTCAAACTGACAACTGTTCTCAATCATAAACGGCTCGTTAACTGGGGTACTTTATTTGTATATTTTTTATATCCCCTACGTTGTGGTGCTATCACAAAATGCACTCTAACACAGTGCTTCCAGATGTTACCTTTCAAATATATCAAAATACTAATCAGACATAGTGTATATCCATTTTATAGACTAAATCTGTCGAAACAAAAGTCCGTTCCAAACTCCTGGTTTCAATGTACTCATAAGCAAACAGATCTGCTGTAATAAAAACGGAATTAGCCTTCGTCTATTTAACTAAGCGCCGCAAGTAAAACGGAAAGGTCATAAAAGTAGCAAGGGAAGTGTATTACCTCGTAAACGATGGCGGTAAATAAGGTATAGTGAGTATTAAAACAATAAAGTGAAACGAGTATCAACAACCGCGTTTCTTATTGTAACGTAAGTGGTCTCGGAACCGGAAGGACGAAGAAGGAGAGCCCGGTTTCGTCCCGGACAGACTCGTGATGTGTTAACTCCTTCTAAATTGCTTCCTCAGTTAATGGATTTTTTGGATAAAATGTTGGAATCGACCAGCGGTCGGAAGTGAGCCGGCCGGAAATAAAATAACCCTCTCCCGTTACTTCACTCTTCTTGTACAACGAACGTCCCATTTCACGTTTGAAAGATAAAAGTAAATTCCAACCGAATGAGAGGAGTAAAACTTATTTTACTGGACGGTATCTACTTATACTTCAAACTTAGCCATATCACAATAATTATACATTTAGGTTTATAGCATTAAGAATCGTTTACCTTAAATTTGTTAAAGAGATACAAATTTAAATAAATTTCGAAGATAACGACAGTAGCCTAAAATGTTGTCGCCAACATAAACCTCACCTAAACTAATTCAGCCAAAACGAAAACATTTAACGTAATTTCATCTCATTTTTAATAGGTATAAAAATCCAACTTGTCCAATCTCTATATATATAAAAAAGTCGTTTTAGTTACACTATTTATAACTCAAGAACGGCTGAACCGATTTGGCTTAAAATTGGTGGGGAGTAGCTTAGAACCAGGAGACGGACATAGGATACGTTCCCGTGAAAAAAAAAACGTGGTATAAGAAAACGCAACTGTCATGCATAACAAAACGCAACTGACAGCTAAACATAATGATGTCTATGGTTAAGTAAGTAGTTTTATTTATAGTCAAATTCACCTGAAACTTGGCATTAATGCTTTTTCATATAAAATTAGTGACATACATACCTATTTCAACATTTTACAAAATTCTACCTGTTTAGGAAACTGAAAGGGGTTTGCAAAGATTGCATGTTTGTTTTTGGTCGGATTTACTTGAAACTGGTTAAAAAATTCAATATCTGTTGGGGGGAAGGACTTGGTCTTAATGGTCTCTCATTTAATTTCTGAAAGACCTAATAAAATAATTCGTTGTATGTATTCTGTATGTATTCTGTCGAAACTGCCAGACGCGGATCGAGATTTCGATCTTTTTGGATCTCATCCGTGCGTCGCAGGCAGCTCCGACAGAACACAGACCAACTTTTACCTGTTGTCTTAGCAGCGCGTTTTAGAAGATACCACGAATGGCGCGGTAAACGCTATCTGTAGTACGATGCTACATTTTAGGATTACGTATGCTCCAACAAGGTCCATTTAAATATATCGATATCTACTTGCTGAAACGAATCCCGGCGTAGCTAACCTCAAAGTGATAGGCACGTTACCATAATCGAATAAAATAATTCGAAGTGATCTGTATTCTGTCGAAACTGCCAGACGCGGATCGCGATTTCGATCTTTTTGGATCTCATCCATGCGTCGCAGGCAGCTCCGACAGAACACAGACCAACTTTTACCTGTTGTCTTAACAGCGCGTTTTAGAAAATACCACAAATGGCGTGGTGAACGCCATCTGTCGAAGCGTACGTAATCCTAAAATGTAGCATCGTACTACAGATGCGTTCTGTCGGAGCTGTCTGCGACGCGCTGATGAGATCCAAAAAGATCGAAATCGCGATTCGCGCCTGGCAGTTTCGATAGAATACTGACCACTTATTATTTTATTCGATTATGGTAACGTACCTATCACGTTGAGGTTGGCCACGCCAGGATTCGTTTCAGCAAGTAGATATCCTTATATTTAAATGGACCTTGTTGGAGCATACGTAATCCTAATATGTAGCATCGTACTACAGATGGCGTTTACCGCGCCTTTTGTGGTATTTTCTGAAAGACCTATCTCGACATTTTAAAAAATTCAACCTCCGAAGAGGGAGGGGTTAAAAGGTGTTGCAATTTTTGTTTGGGACACTCTTTATTTGTGGTTGAACTTACTCAAAACTTGATATATATGCTGTTCGATATTATTAATCGAGTGAAAAGAGGTTGCAACCTTTCCATGAGGTATGTTTTATTTGTACTCGAATATAGGTTTTCACTGAATAAATTCATATACGGTTGGAACTGACCGCAGCCGAAGAAAAATCTGTGGGCGTGTATTTACCCTGTTTTCGGGTAAAAGAGCAAATTTTCTCCTTTTCCGCGAGTATTATTAAGCGTCCTAATTCTCTGTCCAGCGAACGAGTGGGAGGAAACATTAGTCATGATCTACGGGCACTTCGGCTATTATACGAGATTCACTTAATGGCATCCATCGTTTTCCTTATCAAGTCGTTGGCTTTGATTTCCGGGAATTCTTCCGACAAAATCACGTAACGACCATTAAAATAGATACAACAATGAAATAACAAAACCACCCGTCTCAAAATTTCTTCTATTCAAACGTATTTGTTCTCTGATCAAAGGAAAACACAAACTTTATAACACATTAACGTCTTTTCTGAATCATAATTATGAATTTATCAACATTTCCTTATCAAAATGAATCATCATAAAAATCTTCGCTCGCAGAAATTCATATTGTTTCTCCGTAAAACCTTTCAACTCCCAATTCACCCTTACAACGTTTTAATTTTATGTAATGTCGCCATCTTAGATTTCAAATACAAACGTAGCAACAACATTTCATTTTTAAGGGTTGATTTTTAAAAATTGCCAAAACAAAAATTGCAACACCTTTTTACCCCCACCCCGTTGGAGGTTGAATTTTTTAAAATGTCGAGGTAGGTCATTCAGAAATTAAATGAGAGACCATTAAGATCAAGTTTCATGTAAATTTGACCACAAATAATGTATGTTCCATTTAAAAATTACAACTCCCTTTTACCACCCTTCCCTCCCAACAGAGATTGAATTTTTTAACCAGTTTCAAGTAAATCGGACCAAAAACAAACATGCAATCTTTGCAAACCCCCTTTCAGCTTCCTAAAGAGGTAGAATTTTGTAAAATGTTGAAATAGGTATGTATGTCACAAATTTTATATGAAAAATAATGACAATAAATAAAACATGTTAACGATCTTATTTAAAAATGATAAAAGAACATGTAAAATCCACGGAAAATCAAATAAAGTATTAGTACTTGCACAGAGTATAATTCATGTAGACGATAGTAGCTCTCAGTAATCTTTAAAGTTAAGAAACAGCTATCAAAATAAAAATAATAAAAGCAAAATTGTCTAGATGATGCATTCTACTTTTAACACACATCTAAATGTTGCATTGGCCTGACTGGTGGATCATTTAAAACTGCAATAACCGAACATTTTAAATGTTCTAATGATTAATTAAGTAAATTCAAATTATACTCCAATTGCTTATTCAAAAAATCATAATTTTAATGATTACAAAATTTTCAAAACTGAATGCTGTAGAACCTTATTTGGTAGAATACTTCACTTGATAAAGTTACAGTTTAGAGAAATAGAACAGCCCCCAAAATAATTTTTTCGACTTGGAGGTCTGACTAAGTATACCATATGTTTTTGAGGTCGCTGAATCCAAGTCTACTGTCAGGATTTGGACAATCTCAAAAAAACACTTCAAAATTCACTAAAATCGTTAATCATGATAATCCCAAACGATTTTAAATCTAAAACTCGTAACCAATCAACTCTTCCACTAAATGTATAACTTCATAATCGTTTAAATTCCTAATCCTCAATATGACCTCATAACCTTATCATGATTTAGTGGATTTTGAAGGGTTTTTGGAGGTTATGTCCAAACTCTGACGTGCTAGCGTTAAACTGACCTCGGATTTAGCGTACCGGAAACTAATTTTTTTTGTGGGGCTGTGAAATCATCGCAGTTACATTACATTGAATAAGTAGGAACTAATTTAATCAGAAGGAATATTTATTAAATATCAAGTTCAATTTTAGAGAATGTCTTGAGGAACCCATATGCTGTTGAAAAGTTAGGTTAAGTAGCAAGCTATGTAGTTATCGTTCTATCGGCTATA